AAACTTTTCCATTGGTCTTTCTGCCTTTGGATTTCTGCAAAAATATGAGTGATGATGGTCAAATCTATTTCTGTAGCCAGCTAAGAATAAATAGCCTTTACTTTTCTGATCTGGTTGGTCTTCATTAATTTCCACAACCCTACATAACAGAAAGTATTGCTAATTAATATCTCATAAAAAGTTAATAGCTAACAATTTTTGGGAACTTATCATGAACTAGGCATCGTATTAAATGTTTTTGCATGCACTGCTTAATTTAATTTCACAGAATATATAATTATGCCTTCTGAAATTGGTACTTACTATACTTATTTTACAGGAGAGAAAACTGAAGCAGAGAAATATTAATTAACTTGTTACAAAGTTAATGAGTATATAAGCCAGGATTAAAATAAAGACAATCTGATTCTAAAAATGATAGTTCTTAATCACTCTACTAAATTCAGCTTAAAATATGGAAATAGTGCATGTTTCAACTGCTTTCAGAAGAAAATAGAAAACAACAACATACAATTAACATTGTGCTTTCATCTCACCACTGGTAATAAAATACTGTTTGATAGAAGAAGAAAAATCTGAATTCATTTATACCAATCTGCTTTTTTAGATTACATAAGTGAGACTTAGAGAGGTGAAGGTAACTTGCCCAATATTGTACTTAACAGGCAAGGCAAGACTAAAGCCTAGGTTTTCTGACTCCTAGCCCAGATATCCACATGCTTCACTGGGGGACAGAACATTTGCCTGGGAAGATTTATAACTCCACAAAGACTATGAAATGGTGTCATGCTAGCACATTCCAAACACTTAGTATATAACATGAATAAACACATATCTTTTGTGAAGATAATGAGCTAAATGTTATTTAAGAGGCCACTGAAGTTCAACAAGTATTTATTTAGTGCCAACTATGTGTTAAGCTCTGTTTCAGATACTTAAGCTTCATCAGTGAACAAAAGAAAAAAAAACTTATCCATTGGTTTACATTTTAGTGAAAACAAATATTACACTACAGATATATTAAGTAGGCAAATTATATAATGTTATAAATTATATGTTATCTTTATAATAACAAAGATAGGGCAGATCAGATCAAGAAGTACCAGTTTGGGACCAAAAGGGCAGATTGGAATTTTAAACAGGATGATCAGGGTCAGCCTCATTGAGAAGGCAATATTTGAATAGATTCTGAGGAAGTGAGGGAATTAGCCATGTGGACACGGTGGGAAGAGTGTTACAGGTTGAAGGAATAGCCAACACAAACTCCTTTGGAGAGATCGCCTACTATGTCTGGAGAGAACAGCATTGGATGCACTGAGAAAAACAGGTGAGATTAGAACTGTAAGTGGTATACGTGTAGTGAGCTTTTAACAACTGATTTAACTTGATCGGTGAAATACAAGCTACACGTTTCCTCCTCACTATAACTATTTATTATTAAGTGAAAGAAGTATACAGTAGTCCCCCTTTTTTTTTGCAGTTTCACTTTCCATAGTTTCAGTTACCCATGATCAACCAGTTCGAAAATATTAAATGAAAAATTCCAGAAACAAACATTTCATAAGTTTTAAATTGTGTGCCATTCTGTGTAGCGTGATGAAATCTCCAAACTACAAAAGTTTCAGCCATGGTGTGAGATAAGTGCTCAGTTATGATGTAAAAGACATGAAACTTTAGCATAGGTATGTATAGGACAAGACACTATATACAAGGTTTTAGGCATCTACCGGGGGTCTTGGAACATACCCCTTAGGGATAACAGAGAGCTACTGTAATTCTTTCTGACTTTCACTGTTATAAATACTAGAATGAAAACTGTTTCAAAGCTCTGTTTTATCAATTCAATCATATAAAAATTGCATATGAATTGCACATTAATGATTTGAATCATGTAAGCTTCCTTCACCAGACTTTTTAATTCAATCAGTGTGGGAAGGACACTGAGTTTTATTAATGCTCCTGGTGATTCTAGTATGCAGCCATGGCTGAGAAGCACTCCTCTGCCACTTGTGAATAAGAGAAGGCTTTTCTCCTTCCTGCTCCCAAGTAGTCAACCCAGGATGCTCATCATTTTTGCTGCTCTAACTCACTCAGTGTCATCACAACCTGGAACTCCCAAACCATAGACTTCTTCACAGAAATATGGGGATCTTCAATAGAGTGGCGAGGGAAAGGTAGGGCAGGCCACAGTTCTTTGCTGCCCCATTCAGGAGCTCCCACAACACCAACAAACAAGAGTGGTGTCAAATGACTGGAAAGTTTGTTAGAGAATGACCTTGTCAGATAAAGGGTGTGAGAAGAGAGCAGCAATGTGGTGGCATCAGTTGAATAGAACATTTTAATAACAAGGCATCTAATATTCACTTTAACATTTTGGCATTGTCAAGGTAGAAAATATCCTGTCTCTCCAAATCTTGTTTCATTTTATGTAAGCCTGGCACATTTTTTGGCATACAACAAATATGAGTACATGAATTCAAGTGGGCTGAACACAAAAAGTAATAAACCCCAGCCCATCCTTTCCCAATCCTCTAATCTTGTTCCCAGAGAGTAACTGCATTAACTTCATTGTTACCTTCCTCTCTAAATACACTTATGCTGCTAGTTCAGGATAGACCCATGTTAGATCTTGCATACTCACTTCATGCCAAGATAGGTAGGATTTTACTAAATTAACCATTCTAAATTTCCTTGCCCTGTAAAACCTAATCAACTATATAACTATTAGCTTTTCCACTGATAACAATCAGCATTGAGCAAAAGTAGGTTTACAGTTGTGAGTACATGAAAGTGTATTCTTGTATTATTTTTACTTTTCACACAAACTGGAAACCCTGCACGTAAACTCCTATTTCTTGTGTCATCCACAAACAATATCTCTTCACTTTATCAAATAAAAATATTGTATCCCATACCCTTCTTATCATCTCTCTTGCTCTCTTTTACATTATCATGGTTAGCATTCACACTCTGTTTTATAAGCTTAAATAAGGGATTCTTGCTTTGTTTACAGGTGGACTGTAAATCTGAAAATCAGCATGCCTACATAAACATTGTTCTCTGCCCAGCCAAATTATATTCTATGACTACACTACTTGTTTTTTTGTATACTATTTGTCTCATACACCCACCCTTACTGGACTTCTAACAGCCCTTTTAAATTTGTTCTGAGTTTCATGTAGGAAGAACCTACTCTAATGAGTTGAATAGTCAGAAAACCTACTCTAATGAGTAGGTTCTTCCTACATTACCAGGATCTATGTTTTATATATATATATATATTTGCATCTAATTGCATCTATGGGCTTTTTTTTTCCCTACAGGAAGTTCTCTAATAACCCTCGGTCATAAGGCCTGCTACACATTTATCATCCTGGGACTTGCCTTCATTGCTTTTCTGAATTTGTTCCATTGTTCACAGAACCAACCTGATCCAATTCCTTGGATAATTTCCTTGTTTTGCCAGCCCACATATTCAAGTAACACAATAAAAAAAGAGTACTCAGGAGACAAAGCTTTTTCAATTTATGTTTAATTTCCATTTTCATTCTGCCCCCATATTTTATCAATAGTTTTCCTTGGTATAGGATTCCAAGTTCAAAGTTATTTCCTCGTGGAACTTTCAGGGCATTGCTCGTCTTTTAATATCCAGTCCTGGTGATGAGAAGCCTGTTGTCAGTCTGATTTCCATTCATTTGTGGAGGACCCATATTTGCTCTCTGGAAGCTTTTAGAATCTTTCTTTATTCTTGCTATCTTTAAATTTCATCATATGTCTACATGTAGACTTTTTCCTTTTTTTTTGCTCAGTACTCAGCAGGTCTTATAGATTTGCACACTTAAGTCTCCATTTAGTTTAAAAAAAATTTTCTTGTAAGTTTCAACCAACCATTTGTTCTATTTTCACTTTCTGGCACTCTGATGTTGAAAACCTCCATCAATTCTGTTAGGACTTCCCTTTTCTGTCATATTTTATGTTTCTGACTATATCGTTCTCTACTTTTTCCCTTTTCTCTAATCTTGTAGTAATGCAAATAAAGCTTTCAAGTTGACTTCACAGGCAATGAGACAAAGAAATGAGTGGTAACTCTTGGGGAAGAAAAGTCTTTTATGCTAAGGTTTTTCTGACTGGACTAACCCAAACTGACGTGAGGCACATTAGCAAAAAAAGAAATTAAGTTTAATAACACATATACTTCCTGTGTACATAGGAGGGACCAAGGAACACTACGTAACTCACCAAATGGAAGTCATCACCTTAAATACCACCTTAAACTAAGGACAGAAGTTGGGAGTGGAGAGTCAGGTGTAGGGGAAAATATTGGGCGGAGAAGGGGGGTGGCGGAGAGGAAGGGAGAATTCGAGATGAAAATGGAACTATAAAGGAAAAGTTATAAAGTGCTTGGGAACTCCAATTCCCCATGTTGGCACAGATTTTCAGGTATTTTTATTAGGTCGTCTGAAAGGCTAATGTTAACAGAAAAACAAGTTCAGGCTTCACCTTCTTAAACAACACCTACATCAAATGAGTGTGTCAAATGACAATAATTCAGAGAAAAACACAGACGTTTTAAAATGAGTGTGTGTATACACTGCCTCACATTCTGTAGCCCTGCGGCGGGATGAATCTTGTAGGCTTAAATGTCAGAGTCTGAAACACCTGCCTAGTGCAAGTTTGTTTAAGACCAACAGTCAGCAAAATTGGAAACTTAAAAGAAACTATTTGAAAAGGGAAACTTACACATCTGTATTCTAAGTGAGAAAACAACTGGTTTGGGACGGGAGAGCCAGCTGTGTGAAAACCAGCGCCGCCAGCTGTCCTCCCGGGTCCCTGTGCCCGTCATCGGCCGGGAACTGCTTTCAGACCACCTCCGCCTGCAGACCCGCCCCAACGGTGCCCCCTCCCCGACTCCACCCCCAACCGCCGGCGGCCCGCCTGTCCCCTCCCCGGGGCGGGACAGGTCCATGGGTCTTAAGTCGGGATTCGGGTGGTTCTCACAGGCAAAGGACTCTGTGGGCTGAACATACAGGGTAACGAGGCGCCGGGTCTGCAGGAGATGCTCAGGCGGTGGCGTTGGAGGGCGGACCTCTCCTCAGTGCCCAGCCTCAGTCTGTCTCAGGCTCCGCCCCGCGACCCGCGGGCCCCGCTGCGCTCGCAGCGCCCGCTGTGCCAATCCCGGGCCCCGCACCTGCGAAAAGGCGCCGCGCCGCCCCGCCCACAGCAGCGTCCGAAGCGTCCCTACGGCGTCGGTCCGCGCGGTGGGAGCGGAAGCTGCGTCTAGTCTACCAAGTGCCGAGGGCGGCTGGGGGTGCTGAGGGCCACTGATTAATCAGCCGGGCCCCGAGACCCTCGATCCCGCCGGGTGGCCTTGCGGAGGGAGGCGGCGGCGGGGTCCGCGCTCCCAGCCGGTGTGGTGCTGCCTCCGCTTCCTGGCCGACCACATCAGGTGACTTCCCGGCTTGGGAGGGTCGAGAGGGAACGGACGGATGGACGCTGGGAGCGACTGACGAGCGGCCGGGCAGGCGGGCCGGGGTCTCGTGGGCAAGGAGGGGCTAGACGAGCGTCGGGACGCCGTGGCCTCTCTTCACACCTCTGCATTCCGCGGGCCAAGCCAGTCACGCGCTGGAGATTCACAGGCCCGAGCCAGACCAAAGTTTTAGGGAAGGGTGGAGAACCGCCCACCATCCCAAAATGTTTTTATTTATTTAAAAAGCCGTAAGCTAAGTTACTGGGTGGAAGGCGGTAGGGAAGTAAGTTTTCACTGTGATAATCTGTTTATAGTAGGTTCTAACTAAGACGTTCGTCATCTGAAGCCATAGATACTGTAGAAACTTAAGAAAGATGCAAGACTGGAATACTAAGGACAGTTGTCAGGGTGACGAGGGCCACACTTATAAAGAAGAGCGAATGTGTGTACTTGGTCTAGTTCCAGCTGCTTACGGAGGTGCAAAACCCAGGAGGACCTTGCCTTCCAGGTACCAATGTACCAGAATAATGATGTGAACAGCCCTCTTTTTTCTTTTCTTTTTTTTTTTTTTTTTTGGCAAGTACAAAACTCTCATCAAGAGTTTTTAAATTGGATTTCATAAAATGTAAGTGGCCCATGAACTTGGATATAAAGAAAAGTACAGCAGTATTTTCACTAAACGTTAATATTCAGTTATGGATAGAAGCAACAAGCACTAATATTTTTGACTTTGTCACCGCTTGAAATCACAAATATTTTCACATTACAGTTGTCGCACATACCTAAAAATACTGTTTGTGCTTATTTCTTCAAAATTACAGTATTACTCGTCACTGAACTTGTTTAAAGAAGCACACAAGCATACCTCTTTATTGCGCTTCACAGGTGCAGGGATTTTATACGCTGAAGGCAAGACCCTCTACCACTGGGGTACAGGGGTGTCAGACTCATTTTCACTGGGGGCTGCATCAGCCTCCTGGTTGCCTTCAAAGGGCCGAATGTAACTTTAGGGCTGTATAAATGTCACTACTCCTTAACAGTTAAGTGAGAGTTTAGCGCAGCTGCCAGGTAGAAACAAGGTGCAAGCCATATAATACAAGGTAGCCAGTTGGCCTTGTGTTTGCTCTACCAGCAATTACAGTTAATTCTATTCGTACCAGCATCAGAAAGAATGATACAGGAATAATTTTAAGAAAAGACATGTAAGACTTGTACACTTAAAACTACAAAACATCACTGAGCACAAAGAAGGCTGAGTAAATGAAAAAGCATCTCATGTTGTATGGATTGAAAATCTTGATATATGGGATGAGGCAAAACGGTATGCGAAACAGTTTATTCTTGTATTATATTTACTTACTATTTTATTATTTTCCATATGAACAACTGTAAACCTACTTTTGCCCCACCCTCTACTTAAGATGGCAGTATTTCTGAATAAATCTACAAAGTCAGTGAAATCCTATCAAAATCCTAGCTGTTTCCCCCCCCCCCCCCCCCCAGAAATTAGAATTGCACAGAGCCCAGAATAGCCAAGACATTCTTGATAAAGAAAAGGTTGGAGGATTTCAACTTCCAGATTTCAGATTTTACTACAAGCAACAGCGGTGGTGCTGGCATAAAGATAAACGTATAATCAATGAAATACAATTGAGAATCCAGAATAAATCCTTACCCTTATGGTCATTTGATTTCCCATTATATTCTGAGACAAAGGAGAAATAACAGTCTCTTCAACAACTGGTACCAGGACAAATATCCAGAGGCAAAATAATGAAATTTTACTCCTGCCTCATACCATATACAAAACTAACTCAAAATAAATGAAAAACCTAACTGTAAGAACTAGAACTATAAAACTTGTAGAAATAAGCATTGAAGTAAGTTTTTGACCTTGGATTAGGTATTAATATTTTAGATATGATGCCAAAAGCACAGCAAGAAAAGAAAAAAATAAATTGGACTTGATGAAAATGTAAAACTCATGTGATTAAAAAGACAACATAAAGTGAATAGGCAACCTACAGAATGGAAGAAAATATTTGAAAATCGTATCTAAAAAGAGACTTGTCTCCAGAATGTATAAAGGATTTTTAAAGCTCAACAATAAAAAGAAAACCAGTTTGAAAATGAGCAAAGAATTTGACTGTTTCTTCAAAGAAGGTATATAAATGGCTAATAAGCACGTGAAAAGATGTTTAACATTAGTCTATTTATTGCATGAGTGGGTCAGAATGCTAAAGCTAGTTTCTAGGAAGGCAATTGGGAAAGAAAGATTGGAAATCAACATTAAGATCTATATTTTGCTATCTCTGAGAATTAACATAATGTGTAAACCTAAGTTACCAAAATGCACAATTTATAGTATTTAAGTACAGTAACTTTTCCTTAAACTAGTATGTGTGACTTTTGTTTTAAATATACTGTCTCTAATGTATTTTCTATTAATGAGAGAGAAGTAAAAGAGAAACTACCCATTCCTAGGAGATCTTAGAATATTAAAAATTTTCATAACAGTACTGTGTCCTTGGTCATTAAAGATAGTTTGTTATGTAGGACTTGCCTGTAAAGTAGTAAAAAGACAGTAGCAGCTGTTTAGGATTTCTGACATTCAAAGTGGTGTAGGTTAACATGTAGCTTAGCTACTAATTTGAAAGCATGAATCAGGGGGATTCTCTTCTTTTATGAAACTTGAATGTTTTTCGCCTAAATAAAATCTAAATAAAGATAGACTTTTATAAAGGCTATATTGACTATATTATCTCATTTGTTTTCCATGTTTACTTTTTAAAAAAAGAAAGGATGGTGACACTGAAACTGAAGGAGAAATTTATAATTCCTTAGTGCAATATTTTGGTGATAATTTGGGGCAAAAAGTTAAAGCAATGCCATTAGCTGAAGAAACTTCTTTACTTGAAGATTCATCAGTGACTTTGCCTGTGGTAGTAATTGGTAAGTTATTGCATTTTATCTCTTAAAATTGTAGTTATGATCCTTGCTGCTATTATAAATTACAGTTACATAGTTACAAGTTCTTAGGATTGTATTGAAAACTATTATTAGGTTTGATATCTTAAAACAACCAATAACCAAATTTTTCTCCAAAGATATTTATCTGATATTAGGTCCTGTGTTACAATGCAGCATGCATTCATTAAGGGTTGATACTCTACTTTAAAATACTATCAATTGTGTTGATTATATGACAGTGTCCTGGTAATGATGACAACCTTTATTTTGTTTCAAAATAAGTGGGAAGGAGAGAAAAGTCCTCTGTGACTGGCATGTGGGAGATTCAGTAAAGGAATGAAGGAAAGGAAGAAAGCAAGATAGTTCTATACTAGATCCCCTTGTTAGGGAGAGGATAGAGAGGAGTTTTTACACTGGTTCTCTTCCAGGATATCTTGGAGACTATACCACGTGTACCATTTTCCAACATATGTCCACCCTAGTTTTTCGTCCTTGATATCTTAGAATAAATAAAGGACTCTAACTTCTTGTTCTACCTGGGAGAGCCAGGAAAAGCAAAAACCACCTCTGTCTTTACCTGTCCACCTCACTCCCCGCTGCCAACAGTCTATTCCTATTTGGCCTCAGCTAGCCAATGAGTGAAACTAATGTATACAGAGCCATTACTGTTGGCAATAGTGCCACCAGCCTGAGCATAGATAAAGAACTAATTTCCTTCATTGGTTTTATATAGTAAGGATTCATACTATATAAATAGTTTCACAATTTGTGTATCCATTCACTGATTGAATGACATCTTGGTTGTTTCCAAGTTTTGACAATTATGAGTAAAGTCCCTATAAACATGCAGATTTTGGCATGGCCATTGTTTTCAACTCATTTGGGTAAATACTGAGGAATGTGATTGCTGAATCATCTGGTAAGACTATGTTTAATTTTTTAATAACTGTCAAACTGTCTTCCAAAGTGACTGTACCATTTTTGCACTCCTAGCAGGTATAAATGAGAGTTTCAGTTGTTCCATAGCCTTTTCAGCATTTGGTGGTGTCAGTATTATGGATTTTAGTCATCTGATAGGTGTGTAGTGAGCTCTTACTGTTTTAATTTGCAGTTCTGTAATGATATATGATATTGAGTATCTTTTCATATGCTTATTTGCCATCTGTGTATATTGAGGTGTCTAGATCTTTTACCTTTTTAATTGATTGGATTGTTAGTTTTCTTATGGTTGAGATTTAAGAGATTTTTCAGATGCATGTTTTGCAAATATGTTCTCCCAGTCTGATTGGTCTTCTCATTGTCTTACAATGTCTTTTGCAGAGCAGAAATATTTAAATTTTAATGAAGTCTTGCTTATCGGTTTTTTCTTTCATGGATCCTTCTGTTGGTGTTCTAAAAATTCTTTACCAAACCAAAGATCACCTGCATTTTCTCCTATGTTATCTTCTAGAAGTTTTATAATTTTATGTCTTATGTTTAGGTCCATGACACATTTTGAATTTTTGTAAAAGATAAAGGTTAGTGTCAAGATTCATATTTTGGCATGTGGATGTACACTTATTCCAGTACCATTTATTGAAAAGACTTATCTCCATTGGATTATCTTTGCTTTTTTTGCATTTTTAAGTATATTTTATTGATTATGCTATTACAGTTGTCTCATTTTCCCCCCTTTACTCCCCTCTGCCCTACACCACCCCTCCCACCAGCATTACCTGACCCCCCTTAGTTCATGTCCATGTGTCGTACATAAAAGTTCTTTGGCTTCTACATTTCCTATACTATTCTCTCTTTTTTTTTGTCTTTTTAAAAAATATTTTATTGATTATGCTATTATATCTGTCCCATTACCCCCCTCCATCCCCCTCACCCTCCTCCATCCACATTCACCCCTCTAGTTCATGTCCATGTGTCATAAGTTCTTTAGCTTCTACATTTCCCATACTATTCTTGCCCTCCCCCTGTCTGTTTTCTACCTACCATCTATGCTACTTATTCTCCATATCTTTTATCCCTTCCTCCTCCTCCCACTCCCCTGTTGCTAACCCTCCATGTCATCTCCATTTCTGTGGTTCTGTGCCTGTTCTAGTTGTTTCCTTAGCTTGTTTTTATTCTAGGTGTGGTTGTTAATAATTGTGAGTTTGCTGTCATTTTACTATACATGTTTTTCATTTTCTTTTTCGTAGGTAAATCCCTTTAACATTTCATATAGTAAGGGCCTGGTGATGATGAACTGCTTTAACTTGACCTTATCTGAGAAGCACTTTATCTGCTCTTCCATTCTAAATGCAGCTTTGCTGGAAAGAGCAATCTTGGATTTAGGTCCATGACTTTGAATACTTCCTTCCAACCCCCTTCTTGCCTGCAAGGTCTCTTGAGAAATCAGCTGACAGTCTGATGGGAACTCCTTTGCAGGTTACTGTCTCCTTATCTCTTTCTGCTTCTAGGATTCTCACTTTCATTTTCACCTTGGCTAATGTAATTATGATATGCCTTGGTGTGTTCCTCCTTGGTCCAACTTCTTTAGGACTCTCTGAGCTTCTTGGACTTCCTGGAAGTCTATTTCCTTTGCCCGATTAGGGAAGTTCTCCTTTATTATTTATTCAAATAAGCTTTCTACTTGTTGCTTTTCCTTTTCCCCTTCTGGTACCCCTGTAATTCGGATGTTGGAACATTTCAAGATGTCCTGGAGGTTCCTAAGCCTCTCCTCATTTTTTTTGAATTCCTGTTTCTTCATTCTTTTCTGTGTGGTTTTTTCTTTCTTCCTTCTGGTCCACTCCATTGATGTGAGACCCAGCTTTCTTTCCATCATTATTGGTTCCCTGTGTATTTTTCTGCATTTCACTTACTGTGGCCCTCATTTTTTCATCTAATTTGCGACCAAATTCAACCAATTCTTTGAGCATTCTGATCACCAGTGTTTTGAACTGTGCATATGATAGGTTGGCTATCTCTTGATTGCTTAAAAGGATGGGTTCTGGGGCTTTCATTTGTTCTTCAGTTTGAGCCATCTCTCTGTCTTTTTTTTTTTTTTTTTGGTCTGGTTGTGCCTGTTATGTATGAGGGGCGGAGCCTTAGGTATTCACCAGGGTGGGTCAACCCAGTCACTGGGTTGTGACGTTCTATGTGGGGACCAGGTCTGAGAGGAAACAATGGTGCTTGCTCCACTCTCTGCTGATTTCAATCCCTTCTGCCGCTTCCCCCAAGCAAACTGGGCCTTTCTGGTTATTCCCATGTGGGTGGGCTTGTGCACCCTGTGGGTCTCACCAGCGACCTCTCCTGTGAGGCTGGGAGTCTCTCCCTGCACCTCAACCCCCCACAGGTGTTTTCAATCAGTGCCCCAAGGATCTGTTTCCCAGCCCTGGGATCCTGGGTTGCCCACAGTGCCTTGCTTCACAATTGCCGCCTCGCTGGGTCTGCTGGTTGCCACCCCTCAGCCAGTTTTTGCCAGCCGCCGCTTGTGTGCCCAGGGTCTGCCCGCTGCGGTCTTATGCACCCAGTCCCAAAGCTCTTCGTGCTGGGCAACCCCTCTCCACCTGGCTTCCCGACCCCGCCCCTCCTACTGGTCTGGATGAACGTGTCTATTTTAACTCCTTGGTTGTCAGACTTCCATACAGTTCAGTTTTCTGTCAGTTCTGGTTGTTATTCTGTTTCTAAATTGTCGTTGTCCCTATCTTGGTTCTGCGAGGAGGCACAGTGTGTCTGCCTATGCCTCCATCTTGGCCGGAAGTCCCTATACTATTCTTAACCTGCCCTTAGAAATAAGATATTTTCTACCTACCATTTATGCTACTTATTCCCTGTACCTTTTCTGCCATTCCCCCACTTCTCTGCTCATAACCCTTCATGTGATCTCCATTTCTGTGGTTCTGTTCCTGTTCTAGTTGTTTGCTTAGTTCGTTTTTGGTTTTTATTTTTTTAGGTTAAGTTGTTGCTAGTTGTGAGTTTGTTGACATTTTAGTGTTCGTATTTTTTATCTTCTTCTTTTTCTTAGATAAGTCCTTTTAACATTTCATATAATAAAGACTTGGTGATGAGAAATTCCTTTAACTGGACCTTATCTAGGAAGCACTTTATCTGCCCTTCCATTCTAAATGATAGCTTTGCTAGATAGATAACCTTGGGTGTAGGTCCTTGACTTTCTTGGCTTTGAATACTTCTTTCCAGCCTCTTTTTGCCTGCAAAGTTTCTTTGAGAAATCAGCTGATAGTCTAATGGGAACTTCTTTGTAGGTAACTGTCTCCTTTTCTCTTGCTGCTTTTAAGATTCTCTCCTCTTTAATCTTGGGTAACTTAATTATGATGTGCCTTGATGTGTGCTTCCTTGGGTCTAACTTCTTTGGGACTCTGAGCTTCCTGGACTTCCTGGAAGTCTATTTCCTTTGCCAGATTAGAGAAGTTCTCCCTCATTATGTTTTCAAGTAAGTTTTCAATTTCTTGCTCTTCCTCTTCTCCTTCTGGCACCCCTATGATTCAGATATTGGAATGTTTAATATTGCCTTGGAGGTTCCTAAGCCTCTCCTCATTTTTTTGAATGCTTCTTTCTTCATTATGTTCTGGTTGAAGGTTTATTTCTTCCTTTTGCTGCAAATCATTGATATGAGTCCTGGTTTACTTCCCTTCACTGTTGGCTCTTTGCATATTTTTCTTTATTTCACTTTGCATAGCCTTCACTTTTTCCTTTAATTTGTGACTATACTCAACCAATTCTATGTGAGCTTCCTGGTTACCAGTATTCTGAACTCTGCATCTGATAGGTTAGCTATCTCTTGATCACTTTTTTTTTTCTGGAACTTTGATCTATTCTTCCATTTGGACCATATTTCTTTGTCTGGTTGTACCTGTTATGTAGTAAGGGGCAGAATCTTAGGTGTTCAACGGTGCAGGGCAACCCATGGTGCTGCTTTATGGCACTGTATATGGTTGGGGGGTGTTTAGAGAAGGAACAAAGCCGCTTGTTCAGCTCTCTGCTGGCTTTCAGTCACTTCCACTGCTACCTACAAGCAAATTGGGCCCTTCTGGTGCTGATTCCTGGGTTGGTGGGTTTGCAGATAGTCTGTGACTCTGTGGGTCTCTCCAACAAACTCTCCTGTAAGGCTCTGTGTTTCTCCTTCTACTACAACCCCCACAGGTTTTTTCAGTTAGAGGTTTTGAGGCTTTATTTTCCAGCATTGGAAACCTGGGTTGCATGGTCAGTCTCATTCCCCAGTTGTTTCTCCTTGTTTATCCGCAGGCAAATGTGGGACCACCTGGTCATTCAGCCACCGCCTTGCCACCAGTCTTGTGTGCCCTGGCTGCCTGTCTCTGCCCCTCCTTCCAGTGTGGATGAATGTTTCTTTTTTAACTCCTTGGTTGCCAGGCTTCCATACAGTTTGATTTTCTGTCAGTTCTGGTTTTTTGGTTTTTTTTTAATTTGTTATTGTCCTTCTTTTGATTGTGCGAGGAGGTACAGTGTATCTACCTGTGCCTCCCTCTTGGCCAGAAGTGCCTTTGCTTTTTTTTTTTTTTGTCAAAAATAAGTTGAACTATACTCGTGAAGATCTATCTCTGGGTTCTCTGTTCTGTTCCATTTAATTTGTCCATTCATTATGTCCATAGTCTTGTTGACTGTAGTGTTATAGTAAGACTTGAAGTTGGATGGTTTCAATTTTGATTTTATTCTATATTGTGTTGGTTATTCTGGTTCCAAGTCCATTTAAACTTTCAAATCAGTTTGCAAATAACCACAAAGCAACTTGCCGGTATTTTTTATTTGGATTCATTAAATCTGTAAGTCAAGTTGGGAAAAACTGATGTCTTAACAAGATTGAGTCTTCCTATCCACAAACATGGAATGTCTTTCCATCTGTTGACATATGCTTTGAGTTCTTTTATCAGAGTTTTGTGGTTTTCCTCATATAGATCTTACACCAAAATAGGTTTCTTTTTTGTGCACATTTTAGCAGTGTTGTGAATTGCATTTCAAATTCCACTTGTTCATTGCTGATATATAGGATAGCAGTTGGCTTCTGTATATTAACTTTGTATTTTGCAACCTTGCCCTGGTTGCCTAGTAGTACCAGGAGGTTTGGGAGCCAGTGGTTTGTCAGTTCTTTGGGATTTTCTACGTAGATAATCGTGGCATTATGAACAAAGATAGTTTTATTTCTTTCTCCCCAATCAGTATACCTTTTATTTATTTTTCTTAATAGGGTTATCCAAGTATTCCTTCAGGGTGTCTGTTGAGTGGGAATGGTCTTAAAGGGAAAGCACCTAGTTTTTCTCCATTAAGATGATGTTAGTTGTAGGCTTTTTGTAGATACTCTTTTTCAAGCTGAGGCAGTTCCTCTCTATTTATAGTTTGCTTAGAGTTTTTATCATGAATAGGTGTTGGATTTTGTCAAATGCTTTTTCTGTATCTGTTGATATTAAGATTTTTCTTGAGTTTTTCTTTTTTTGATTCAAGGAAATTAGCTGTTTGCCTCAGATCTGAACTCCCATTACTTGTCCTTAGTTGATAACTTGGATGAAGGCAAAAGGCTTATTTTACTCTCTGTTTTTAAGGGTTTTTTTTTTAGGATTTTATTCATTTTTAGAGAGGGGAAGAAAGGGAGAAAGAGAGGGAGAAAAGCATTGATAACACGAGAGAAACATTAATCAGTTGCCTCTCACACGTCCCCAACCAGGGACCTGGCCCAAACCCCAGACATGTGCCCTGATCACAAATCAAACCGGTGACTTTGAGTTTGTGGGATGGTACCCAACCCACTGAGGCATACCAGTCAGGGCTGTCTTTTGAGTGTTATGTCATGCTCCAGCATTGTAAGTGTAAATAATATTACCCAGGTTACTAACATTCTTATGATTTTACTTTCATGTTTACATCTTTGAGCTTATTTGGGACAAAATATTAAGCAAAGAACAGGATTTTTACCCCTATGGCTAGCAGTTGTCCTATTTGGATTAAATTTTTGATGGATGTGGATAATGGAGAACAGACAACCCAGACTAAAGACTAAAGGAACTTCAGAAATGGAAGTAGCCCAATGAAAAATCTAGTTTGGTTTTAGTTAAAGTTTATGAAAATATAGGAAAGCAGTATTACGAGATGGGACTGGAAAGATGGTTGAGACTAGAACATAGCACTGGGTAGTCAGAAACAAGCAGTTAAGGCCTTTAGAATAGAGGGAGTAACATGCTGAAGACCATGTGTTGCACAAACTCATCTGAACATGAAATGATTTTGGAGTAGGTGAATTTAAGGATGGAGAATATGTCTTCTGAGTGAGAATATAGGAGTGAGCATAGCAAAGACAATGGAATGGATATAGATGACAAAATAGGTTTAGAACCAGAACCTACCTGATTAACTTAGATTTTTTTTTCAATTTTTTTAGATTTTATTTATTTATTTTTAAAGAGAGGAGAAGGGAGGGAGAAAGAAAGAGAGAGAAACACCAGTGCATGGCTGCTCCTCATGGGCCACCCACTGGGGACCCAGCCTACAACCCATGCATGTGCCCTGATTGGGAAGCAAACAGGTAACCCCTTGGTTCACAGGCCAGCACTCTGTCCATGAGCCATACCAGCCAGGGCTGATTAACTTAGGACTGTGCTAGTACCATATGTTGAGAAGGGATTTTGTTTAGAAGGAGAGGGTACCTAAATGAATGAATTCATGAATTTGCTTTTGAACATATTTTGATTAAGTTATTAATGGGTCTGTCAGGTGGAGTAAATTAGCAGCATGTGGAAATGTGGGGTATATTTTGAGGGAAGAGGTGGCCTAGAGATCTAGATCTCATTTTGGGAGTCAGCATAAAGAGTTGAAGTTTTGACTAAAAAGGGCTCCCCAGAAAAACTAGGAGTGAAGACAAAAGTTATAATTCTTTTTAATGCTTGGTCTTCAGAGTTTAGAGAAGGCAGAACTGGTGAGGGAGGAAGGCCAAGGAATAGGAGTATTCATGCATGATACAGCCTCTTCACATTTTTCTGTTTTTAAATAGGAAATGGACCCTCAGGGATCTGCCTTTCTTATATGTTATCAGGCTACAGACCATATTTATCATCAGAAGCAATACATCCAAATACAGTTTTACATGGTAAATTACAAGAAGCAAGACATCTGTCCATTGTAGATCAGGTATTATTTTTTATCAGTGTTTTAAGTTTTTTTATACTAAACCAAGATTAGTTGTACTTATATAAGCATTGTGTTTCTTAAATGAAAATCCTTTCTTCTAACAACACTTTCTATCATTTTTATTTTAGATTTATAAATACATTCTGCTGAGTTACTTCTGTTTATTTTCCTGAATTGATAAGAGCAGAATTTCCCAAATGATTTCCTGATAAAGTTTTAATAGGTACTCTGTGCTCAAATAAGTTTGGAAAGTGCTGTCTTTTATATTGCAGTGTCACTATAGACATAGTAAGGCATATTAGCATATTAAAGGCATCTTCAAGTTTTGCAGTAAAATGATCTGGTTAGATTTGTTGTAACCCAACCTTTTCCATATTTATTTGATCAGAGAACTTACTAAGATGTCAAGGAACATGAGTGTTTTATAGCACACTATCTGGGAAATACTGGAGTAGAGTAATGGCCTTCACTTTATGATAGCATTGGTTTGTGTTTTTGTTTTTCCAAATTCTATCTTTTTTTTCTTTTTAAAAAAATTTCCATTCAGGACTTAGAATACTTGTCTGAAGGTCTTGAGGGCCGATCATCCAATCCAGTTGCAGTACTTTTTGACACACTTCTTCATCCAGATGCTGACTTTGGGTATGACTATCCATCTGTTTTGCATTGGAAATTGGAGCAACATCATTATATCCCTCACTTAGTACTTGGTAAAGGTCCACCTGGTGGAGCTTGGCATGTGAGTATACTTTTCTTAGCATTCTAGTGTATGTGAGTTATTATATATATCTTAATAAGATAATTTTGATTCTTAAACACTGATATAATGTTATATATGATGTTCACTGAATTTTTATCTGGAATTTTACTCCCATTCAGTTAAATATGGTTAGTCAAATTTGATTACTGATAGTCTTAGATTAAGCATTTCTGTGTACTATTTTATAATTATATAGAAAATATTTTAATATTTTACATAGTAAATTTTCATTCATTTTAGAATAAAATTACACACAATATCTCATATCTATCCATTATTCTTTTACATTTATTTTCAAGATCTTAAATGAAAAATGTATTGTAAAATAATTAAATTACATTAATCGGATTGGTCATCTATAACAAACTATCATAGACCAAGTGGCTAAACAGCAGATACTTATTTCTCACAGTTTAGAAGCTGTAGTATTCAGGATCAAGGTGCCAGTGTATTCAGTTCATGGTGAGGGCTCTTTTCCAAACTTGCAGATAGCTGCTTTCTTGCTGTGTCCTCATATAGCAGAGAGCATGATCTCTGTCTTCCTCCTTTTATAAAGCCACTAATCCTGTCATGAGGGTACCACCCTCAAGTGACCTCATCTTGGGCCTAATGACCTCCAAAGGACCTCACCTCCAAATACCCTCACAATGGGAATTAAGGTTTCCCCTAGAATTGGGAGGTAATACAGTTTAGTCCATATCAGACTAGAGTACTGATAACATTAAGATTCACTGCATTTCTTTAGGGAGCAGCAACTAACAATTATTGTTCACCCTGTGTCCTTAGCAGTCAGTGTAGTATCTGGTGTGTAGAGAGTACGCATTTGTTGTACAAATGTTTAAAAAAATGTGCTATGTTGTGAAGTACATACTTGACAGAAATTTTAACACTGAATGTCAAATCCCGAGTACAAACTTCAATTGGATATGACTATATTAATGCAGGGTTATATGTCTAAAAGCTGTTTACATTTCTTTATCAAGTGACAGCCAGTTAGGGATACCCATCCATGCATTGGCATCCAGGGATTTATCCGGGGGCTCACCCCAGTCATAAAGGTCAGCAGCACCCATGTGACTGGCCTTTGTGACTGGTCCCTGCTTCCCAGAGCAAATAGCGGTGTTCACCATAAATCACATATGCATGGTCACACTGGTACAGCATGGCCCATGGCTTCTGGCATGCAGAAAAAACTCTTTGTCAGATAGAATATCCCAAGGATAGAGGGTGTCTCCTAGGGGCTAGTTTTGAACACAGACCTTTCTTAGTAATGTGCAGGGCTAACACTACCTGCATCTGTTAATATTTTTCTGCACAAGGCTAAACTTTTTATTAATAGACAGTCACATAACTTGTTTGTTCTGCCTGGAATAGTCTCCCTTTCTAATATGGCACTCCTCAAAGTCCTTGTGTCCTTTAGGAAATACTCTCTCTATGCTTCTACAGTACTTCCGAGGTTTGCGTTTGCATCCCTTAATACACTGCATGTCCATGACAGCAGGCACTCAGAGAATATAGATTGCATCGGGAAAAAAAGAAAAGCCAATTGGGAGAAAAAATGAAGAGATCACAGGACTAGGGCTCATAACCAACTGGAACAATGGGTGCAGTGGGAATAAAGTTTAGAGATTGTTGACAGAAAGTGGAATATTAATGCCTTAAGGGTTTTGAGTTTCAGACGAGATACTCGTGTGGCTCCATATAGTGTCTGACATACAGTATTCTTAACAGCTCCCATTCTGATGATCCCAGTTTTCCATCCTGCTCTTCTGATCCTACTCCTAGGCCCAAGCCACCTCAAAGCAGTGGCAGCTTGCTGCATTTGCTCATTTTGGTGATCTGTGTCACAAATAATAGGCTTCATAAGGCCTAGCACATAGTAAGTGTTTGATAAATGTTAGCCAATAATAATAAGTCCCATTTCCAAAACTGGGCTAAGAGTTAAGAGAAAAGAAGCAATGGCTGAAATAGTTGGTTGAAAGAAACTGAAGCCACTGGAACAGGTGCTGTTGGACCTTGGGCTTTTTTAGCTTTGTACTGAGCAAAGCAAAAGTAAGTAGGACATGCAAGCTTGAAGGGCTTACTTTCTTAAAGGTACCATTGGCAGTAACGGTGAATCTGTTCTTAATCAGGCAACCACTGCTGCTTTTGCTAGTTCTAGAAAGAAATGCTGCTATATCCAAATCAGTTTAGACTTTACAATTAGAATTGATGGGGTGGTAAGGGGAGAGAGAAGGCTGTTGTATTGCCCATTTAAAAAAATCTACTAATAATATTCAAATGAAAAGACATCTAAAGTGTGGAAATTAATGAACTCTTTTCCTTTTGTTTAAAAAGTGAAAATACTGATTTGTTTCTCCAACATGATATTCTATATCTGAATTATGTTGATTATAAGCCAAAGTGATCAACATTGTGTAGGCATTGGGTAATTTTATAAATTTTTCTTGTAGATGTATAACTATAAGAAGGAAGGAATATAAATAGACAAGTACCAAGTGATGAAAGTATCATTTGAAAGTTTGTTGGAATAAACTTTGAGAGGTAATCTATACAGTGATTTAGACCTTCTTTGAGTTCTCCTTATTCAGACTCTTATAGTAAATAAATGGCTTTGGTTTAAAAAAAATGAACAAACAAAAAACCTTGTTACTGCTTAAATGTTTTTTTTGATTGTACATTTTTTTATTCAAATAGAGTATGGAAGGCTCCATGTTGACAATCAGCTTTGGAAATTGGATGGAGCTACCTGGGCTTAAATTTAAAGATTGGGTAACCAGCAAACGAAGGTAAAGATCAAATTATTAAAGTACTTTGGTGTACAATGGGAAGAGTGTGTCAGCAAACTTCAAATATTTGTGATCCTGTCTTAAATGAATAGTAAAAATATCTGTCTCTCAAGTAAAAAGTCTGTTTGCAGCAGTGATTGTCAGCTAGTTGCTACTTAGAGATGTTATAGATAGAGCACAGGGGTAAGGAATGGCATATCTGTAGATTGGGTTCCTGATTTCTCTGTTAATCATGCATTTATCCAGTCCTGTTCAACCACTGTGTTTAGTTACTTTCTAATTCACCCACATACCCTTTTCATACTTATTTATTTTTATGAATGGATCTATAAATCCACATGTGCATATTTCATGTGTACATACCTATAGTGTTTGACTTTCAGACTAGAAGAGTGTGTACAATTATAAACTAGAATTGAGGGTGTGATTAGCTAGTTGGGTATAGAGTTAAATATTTAATAAGAAAGTCTGAATAATTGAGAAGAAATCTCAACTTGAAAAAATAAAAGTTTATTTCGGGGGAAAGAACCCAAAATTTAAAAAGATTTGAAAAGTTCTGTGATTTTCAAGGATAGTAAATAATAGATAGAAATTACTAAAACAGACTGTACTCTAATCTGACTTCTCACAAAACAGTAAATGAAAGCAGGAAGTTACTAAACCTTTGTTAGAACAGGGCTGTAACATTTGAATGCTTAACTTCCTGCTAGACAGAAACCATTTTAATCCACAGAAATTATCCTTAATTTGACAAGATTTAAGAAGAGCAAATTTAGACCAAGATGAGTAATGGAGATTAAACCTCTCAAGTATTCCTTTTGCGTTTCTTAAAAAAGAATTGTATATGGGTTTGAAATAATAAAGTTGCAAAATCAGGCAAGTTGTACAAGTTCCTCATTTTCATAAGTCCGCAAGTGGTGAAACTGCTCAACATTCTCCTCTTTGTGATGTGAGTAAAAGAAAGGAAAGCTTTGTGACTTATGTACAAAGTGTTTTTCCTTCTCAGTCTGGTGATCTTGTGTATAGAATAAATATGTGAGAATGAATCTTACGATAAATATCTTTAGTTCCTACCTTTGCATCATGTTAAGAGAAGGAAGCCTCTTAGATCTCTAGAGATTGACTCAATAACTTGTGTGACCCTGATCATATAACTTAAACTAGCCGTCAATTTCCTAGTCTGTAAAATGGAGACAGAAGTAACTACTACATAGGGTTCCTATAAAAACTGAAAGTTAATACATTCTATTATTATGGTCATTAAACTTCAAGTGATTTGGTTTGTTTTTCCTGCTACTTATCTCTGATTATGGTACAATGTTTAGGGCTTTAGGGGTGTTAATGCCCATTGCTTTAAATTTCAACTGGAAAATGAAGAATGCACTAATGTACTTTTTTCATAAAGATATTTTATTTATGTATCTCTCTATGAGTAGGAAAACACAGAAATGTCATATTATTTACTTAGACATAAGATGATTTTGTTCGCAAAAGACTGATCTGACTTACTTTTGGTCATTAGGAAAATAGAAAGCAACTTACTGAAAATTGTTTCTGGGTGATATATATTATCTTTTCTGAAGTATATATATTACAGTTAGATCTGGAATATCTCAATGATTGCAACCCATATAATTTAGTCTATACTTTACACAGTGATTTTGAACCTTTTTCATCTAATGACACACATAAACTAATTACTAAAATTCTGCAACACACCAAAATATATTTTTTGCCATTCTGACAAAAAATAGGTATAATTTGGATTCATTCACACCAAATGGCTATTGTTGTGTTGGCTGTTTTCATTTTTTATTTGACAGTCTAAGGAAGAAGAGGTCAGTGCCCTGACTAAATAGTTAGGCATTGATGTTTTAAAAATTCTTGCAGCCCTGGCTGGTGTGGCTCAGTGGACTGAGCAGCTGCCTGTAAGCCAGAAGGTTGCTGGTTCGATTCCCATTTGGAGCATATGCCTGAGATGTGGGCAAGGTCCCCAGTTGGTGACATGCAAGGGGCAGCTGATTGATGTTTCTCTTACACAGTGATGTTTCTCTCTCTCCCTCCCTTCCCCTCTCTCTAGAAAAGTAAATAAGAAAATCTTTTTAAAAAATTCTTGCAGCACACTGCTTGAAATCCACTTACTTAAAGTATAGACCATAGACTGAATAGTGTATAGACTGAATTACTTAGATTACAATTATGACATAGGCTGCAAAATAGTCTTATTTTCATATATCCACATTCTAATCCCTTCATTTATTTACTAAAAGTTTATTGATAAAGGCAGAATCCGAAAAGGCACTATGAAAGACATTGGAGAGACAGACATGTATTACATACAGTCTCTGCCCTCACAGGGCTTCCTCTTTTTAACTAAAAAGAAAAGTTTTTTTTGGTAAGATGTTAGGATAATTTATAGCTAAGTCAGTTCAGAGGAATTAAAAAGATGTTATAGCTTACTAGATGGAAAAGTAATAATCATGGGAACTAAAAGTACTTTTTCTCCTAGGATATTTTTCCTTTTCCTTTTCCAGAAACCTAAAAGGGGATCGAGTTATGCCAGAGGAAGTAGCTTGCTACTATAAGCACTATGTAAAAGTCATGGGTCTTGAGAAGAATTTCAGAGAGAATACTTACATTACCTCTGTGTCAAGACTCTACAGAGATCAGGATGACAATGGTGGTCACAACAGAGCTATTTCAGCACAGCATTTACAGATCGAGAACTCCAAGTTGATCAAGAGAAACTGGGAGATCCAGGGTTATCAGCGAATAGCAGATGGTTCTCATGTTCCCTTCTGTCTCTTTGCTGAGAATGTAGCTCTGGCAACTGGAACATTGGATTCTCCTGCCCACCTGGAGATTGAAGGGGAAGATTTTCCTTTTGTGTTTCATTCAGTGCCTGAATTTGGAGCAGCTGTAAGCAAAGGAAAGCTACATGGCAAAGAGGACCCAGTGTTAATTGTAGGTTCTGGACTTACTGCAGCTGATGCAGTACTGTGTGCTTACAACAATAACATCCCTGTGATTCATGTGTTTCGCAGACGAGTAACTGATCCAAGTTTAATTTTCAAACAGCTTCCTAAAAAGCTGTATCCAGAATACCATAAGGTCTATCATATGATGTGTACTCAGTCATATTCTGCAGCTGACTCTGCAGACTCAGATCTTTTATCTGACTATACCAGTTTTCCTGAGCACCAAGTGCTCTCCTTTAAGTCAAATATGAAATGCATCGTTCAAAACATCTCTGGATTGAAGAAAATATTTAAACTTTCTGCAGCAGCAGTATTGATAGGTTCTCATCCTAATCTGTCTTTTCTGAAGGAGCAAGGCTGTTACCTGGGCCATAACTCAAGTCAGCCAATCACTTGTAAGGGTAATCCTGTGGAAATAGATGCATTTACCTATGAATGTGTTAAAGAAACCCACCTTTTTGCATTGGGTCCTTTAGTCGGAGATAATTTTGTTCGATTTTTAAAGGGAGGGGCCCTGGGTGTTACACGCTGCTTAACAATAAGACAGAAGAAAAAACAGCATTTATTTGTTGAAAGAGGAGGAGGAGATGGAATAGCTTAAAGCAGGTTTATGAGTAAATTTATATGGACAGTTTACCATTAAAGTTTTTAACAGTGTTTTTGCAGTGTACACTTTGCGGTATACTTGAATTTTCTGGACTTGAATTAACTGGAGGAGAGTCTCAAGGTATAGTAACTATTTTTTAAAGTTACAAGAACTCAGTGTTCTGACTTATACTGTAATAAAGCAATTTTCAACCTTTTTCATCTCCTGGAACATAAACTAATTACTAAAATTCTGCAGCATACCAAAAATATGTATTTTTTGCTGGCCTGACAAAAATTAGGTAAAATTTTGGTAAATTTACAGAAAAAAAAATAATAATTACCTACCCTTTTTGCTCCAAAGTGACTTTTTAAATTATCAGGTGCCTATTCTTGTATTTAAGAATTTCTGGTACTAAGAATTAACCAATCAGGTGCAACCTTATTACACAACATGAACAGTAAGATGCAACTCTGTTATATGACCTTAACATTTATGGTTCAAGACAGGGCATTCATACCAGACAACTATTGTTGCATTGGCTGTTGTTGTTTTTTTATTTGACAGTCTAAGGGGAAAAGGTGCTCCTGACTTAAATAGCCAGGTATCGCATGTTTTAAAAATCAAAGGTGTCATTGTCAGACAAATGGAAACACTGCCAATCTGGTATACTTTAAGTTGTCACCTAACAAAAACATTATTTTCTTCCAAGAAGTTTTTGTGATTATTTTTGGTCGCTATGATTGATTCCATAACATTATAGCCTGAAATTATAAAATCACACAGTCATTAGGCCAGAAGTTGCCCTCACTACATATTGGGTCATCTTGGTAATTAAAGTGTAGTCCAAAACCCAGCATCAGCTCCATCTATCACTTGTTAGAACTGTAGACTCCAGACCCCATCACAGACTTACTGCATCAAAAACTGCATCACAACGAGATCCTCAAAGAATATGTATGTTCATTAAAGGTTGAGACACAGTGGTATAAAAGAAAATGGGATATGAGATGGGTTGGGGATAGGTGGCATTTACAACTCAGGTTTTATTTTGAAATTACCAACTATATAAAACTAATTTATTAGCAAATATGATCTTTTAACAATGTTTTTATTGAAAATTTGACATACTTCATATTCTTAGCTTCATATTCTTAGCTTCTTAAATTACTCTTAGTAATTTAAACAGTCCAATACTGTTGACATACACTTAGACATCCAGGAACTTGCCAGATATTTTTTTGGAGATTTATTCTCTACTTAACATATTCTAATTTGCAATTCAATAAATTTTTAATGGAACTATTTATCCCTGTGTAAATGATGGCTTAATTTCTGTTTAAGTACTGCTAATATTATAATACTATTTGGGTATTGACAAAATTATTAAAAATTAAAGTTGAAAATCAGGTGAAATCTGTCTTCTGTTCCCAAGATTCCATTGAAATTTGTTCACAGGTGACATGGTAGCTCATTTTATGGTTATTTATTGAATTGTGTGCTCTATCTTAACTTATGTTTATTTAGGTGTGCTTAATGTTTGTATTTCCATACAAATCTCCAGAATTTTAGTGCTAGACAAAAAAAGTCCTTTGAAGTTTTCCATGGCAAACTGAGTTGCTCAGTTTCTCTCTCTTTCCATAGAATTTATTTCATCTGGAATGTGTTTATTGAATGTCTAAATATTCTATTTTTTCTTAGTATTAAAAAAAATGGACCAAAGCGTCAGTATTTTTCTATCTCTTTGCAATGTTATGTGCTCACAGGATCATATTTCACCTTAAAATATACTTGTTTAGAACAAACTTGCCTGTACAACTAGCTGTTTCAGATAAACTGGTAGATTCTTATACTTTTGATAACTCATGTCTGATTAAGTGTAGCAGTTTTTAGAAATGTGATCCAGTTTAAGTTTATATAATGGTAACTTTTTTTTCAAATTAATTTCACCTCTATTGGAAATGATATAGTATCCTCTGGCTGCACTTGATTGACTACTCTCTTGGTGGCCTTTTCTTTTGAGCTCTGAATGAGTTCAAAAGAACTGTATTGAATGTTTTTCTTAATGTCACTTCTAAATTGAAATGACATTGTTATAAAGATGGTTTCTAGGGAAGGATAAGAACTGTTGACATCCCCTTGTCTCAAAAGTTTACTCTTACCCATCCAGTAGCGCTTTTGTGATAAGATTATTCACACACACACAGTTTTTTCAGGGGAAAATAAGGCTTCCATGAGGCCCTAAATAAACCTGGTGAATAGTTTCATCTTTAGTTACCTCCCATTTCTCAATCCACACTCAGACCCAGCCGTCCTGTGTTTCATATAACATGAAAGTTATATGTACTTTCTGTGTTGTATTCTTGTTTCTGTGATGTACTATGCTCTTGTTCTCTTAGTTGATTGATTTCTGTCCCAGAGTTATAATCTCCTTATTCTTCATTGTCATCTAGCTATTCAGGGAGAGGACACAGTGCTAAATATTTGGTAAGTCATACCATTATGTGGGCATCTCTCCATCCCTCAAAGTCTAGCTCTTGACAGTGTTTAATACACAAAAATAAGATTGTCACCTCTAAGTATTTTAGGCAGTCTGAGAGTGTGAATTTCATTCAACTGTTACTTTTTTGAAAATCTAAGAAATTTTATCATGAGATATGTTTCCATATAATCAAATTCTGGTTAACACATTTTTTAAAAATCAGACTGAAAGGTATTTTTAAATATTATGTAGCCAATGGGAAATGGTGAAAAATTCTTCTAAATCCTGTTATTAAACGAAAGCACTTAAGTCCCAGCTGTGGGACACTTGAAACACAAAGAATGAAACAAAACTAAATGGAATTTAAACATTTTAAAAGTATAATTTGATTACAGGAATGTTTACTGAATAAAGCCATTTTGATCAGACAAAATCAGTCTTTTAAACTATACTGTATACATTCCCAGAGGTGCAAAAGGGTCAGGGTTGCTAAACCTAACCTGAAAAAAAGAGTATGTGCAGTAAAGATTAGATACTTTGCTAATTTAGAATGCCCCTGCCCCACTACCACCAGGCTAAGAAAAATGGTGTCTTTAGGAAAGCAGCAAGGCAAAAAAGTAAACTGATAAGGTCTTGGTTGGGTAGTTCAGTTAGATAGACCATCGTCCTGATACACTAAGGTAGTGAGTTTGATCCCCAGTCAGGGCACCTATGAAGAATCAACCAATGAATGCATAAATGGAACAACAAATTGATATTTCTCTCAATCCCTCTATCTCCAAAATCATTTTTTAAAGTGATGAACCATAAAAAACTAAAAATAACCTTCAGTGTGAATTGAACTTGGTCTTTACTGTAATCAACAACTGCAAAAGAAAAACAAACATGGTTAGCAGTCCTGGACTAGATTTTCAAGAGAAGAAAGGGGGTGAGGTGTACAATTTGGACTCTGCCTGTGGCTAACTTTCAAACAACATTTGAAGCACAGTGTCTAAGTTCCTGCTGGAGTTTGATGAGTAGGAAGTGGGAGGAAGGAGAGAGGGAGCAAGCTATACCAGAAGCAGCTACAAAAATTTGCACTATAATACCTTTTTTTAATGTTTCATTATTTTTAAATTATATTTTATTGATTGTGTTATTACAGTTGTCCCAATTGTTCCCCCTTTGCCACCCTCCACCTAGTAACCCCACTACCTCAGTCAATCCTCACACCATTATTCATGTCCATGCATCATGCTTAGGTTCTTTGGCTATTCCACTTCCTATATGTATTTTACATCCCTGTGGCTATTCTGTGACTACCTATTTGTACTTTTTATTTTTTTAAGATAGGGAATACTTTATTCAAACCCATCAGAAATGAACTGGTTGGGTCTATAACAAAGGATCATGTTTTAAAGCATAGGCCAGTAATTGAGTATATGAGTATACACTACTACATACAAATTAACTGATCAGACTGCACCTTGTCAATGTTTAAAACAATAAGTTTCCCTGTAAAAGCAACACCATTGTGACATTTTAACTTAGTATTCCTCTCCTTTTTCCTCACCCTTTCCTTCAGAAGAATCCCTGCCAACTTCCTCATAATCCTTCTTTAGAACACCCATGACCTCACAGGCCTCAGAAAACTCTCCTTCCTCCATGCCCTCACCCACATACCAGTGGACAAAGGCACGCTTGGTATACATCAGGTCAAACTTGTCCAGGCGAGCCCAGGCCTCAGCAATAGCTGTGGTGTCGCTCACCACAGAGGAAAGCTGGTAATTAATGCCACCTTTGAAGCCAGTGGGGCACAGTCCACAAACTGGATGGTATGTTTGGTCCTGATGGTGGCAATGGCAGCACTGATGTCTTTTACCATGACTAGGGTCACATTTCACCATCTGGTATGCCGGCTCAAAGCACACACTGGTGATCTCTGGTACAGAAAGCTGTTCGTGGTAGGTTTTCTCAGCAGAGATGACAGGGGCGTATGTGGCCAGAGGCAAGTGGATGCAGGGATAGGGAACCAGGTTGGTCTGGAATTCGGTCAGAGCATTCAGGGCTCTATCAAACCTGAGAGAAGCAGTGGTGGAAGACACAATCTTGTCATAGATGGCCTCATTGTCAGTCATGAAGGCACAATCAGAATGCTCCAGAGTGGTAGGTGGTGAGGATGGAGCTACAGGGCTTCACTACAGCTGTGGAAATCTGGGACGGGGCAAGGGCAGTGCTGGGTAAATGGAGAACTCCAGCTTGGACTTCTTGCCATAACTGACAGACACTCCATCAGCAGAGAGGTGAACCCAGAACCAGTTCCCCTGCCAGAGTTGTGGAAAACCAAGAAGCCCTGAAGACCTGTGCACTGTTCAGCCAGTTTCCAAATTTGGTCCAGGACTAGGTCGATGATCTCCTTGCCAGTGGTATAGTATCCACAGGCATAGTTATTGGCAGCATCTTCCTTTCCTGTGATCAGCTGCTCAGGGTGGAAGAGCTGGTGGTATGTACCAGTGTGAACTTCATCAACGACTGTGAGTTCCAGGTCTACAAACACTGCCCTGGGCACATGCTTGCCAGCGACTGTCTCACTGGTGTTGAACGAGTCAT